TTGAAGAATTTAACAGAACGAATCCGTCGGAACAATTAAAAGCATTTATTAAAAAATATAGGCAATATTATCGTTCATAAATAATGAAATCAAAAAAAGAAGCACATGACAGATTCATTTCAGAATCGAATAATCCAATTAAAGCAATGTGGTCGCTTATTAATAATAATAACCAACGTGAACAAGTAAGTAACTGCAAAACATATATTTATACAAGTTTGGCAGAGAATATCGTAAAGAATCTTCCAAAATGTCATACAGATTATAGAAAATTTTTGAATAACAAAAAGGATTTAAACTTCTCTTTTAAAGAAGCTTCTTTTATTGAAATAAACGACATTATTACAGATTTAAAGAATACCAAAGGCAGAGATATCTATGGCATAAACAAAAAAATACTAGTAACCATTCGGTACCATATATTAAGACCTTTAACAAATTTAATTAACCTGTGCATTAGATGTAGCGTTTTTCCAGATTTTTTGAAAGTTGCAAAAATTGTTCCCCTTTATAAGAAGGGGAACAAAAATAATCCAGAAAATTTTGGACCTATTTCCATTCTTCCAATTTTTGCAAAAATTTTCGAACTAGTACTAAAAAGGCAATTGAATTTACATCTAGAAGAACATAATCTTTTTAACAATTCACAATTCGGTTTTAGATCTAAACGATCCACTACTTTAGCAATTAATGCCTTTAGTCGATAAAATAAATGAGAGTTTTGAAGCTAAAGAATTTGCGTGTACTGAATTTTTAGACCTCACGAAAGCCTTCGACTGTGTTTCCCACAGCATCTTAACCGAAAATGTAAAGAGAGAATATAGAGTTGCCGTTGAGGCAGGAGAAATAGATAGCGATGGGGTACCTTACAATCCGGTGATTGTTGATGGTGCATGGAGTAAGTCTCCCCTAGTCAAATTAAAATGCACTTTCAGGTGTTGGATTCATAATTGTGGTTAGCACCGAAAAAGTTAACTTACGAAAACCAAAAAATTGGTCTAAAGAGTTTAGACAGTACTTCCCTCGCTGTCGGAAACTTGACGACTGCATGCCTATTGTGTTTTTTTCTCATTACATTTTTGTAGTGGGAATTTAAAAAAAAATTGCGATGACGTCATCAACATTTTTGCAAGGACAAGTATATCAGTTGGGATAGATGTAGTGTAATACTAAGAATAAAATTATTGTATTCCCCAATTTTCGGAAAAATGAATTGGGTCGTTTTGAATATTGATTTGTTATAATCAATAAAATAACGAAACAATTTACTCACGTATACGGCGCCGGTGTGTAATATGAGAGGCAACTGAAAATCGTTTATGTATAAACATTCTTAATTTAAGATGACAAGCGTAACAGCATACGTGAGGGTCAAACAGAGAAACTGTAAACAAAACGACCATCGGTTTTATTGCTTCGACTTCCGCTTATTATATAAAACATTGGGTTTTATTTTAATTTTTGACGGTGAAATTCACAATTGGTTGATTATAAACATGTCTATTCCACATTTGCGGAACCTAGTCAGCGCATAAAACAAATGCACGTTTGTAATGTTAAAGTCGATGTAAATAAGCGTGCTACCCTTATGTTTCAACCGAGTTTTTACTTTAAAAAATTTTGTGTCTACCAAATTGCGTTGGTCCAATGTAATACTAATAATAAGTGTTGCCTTTAATTTAATCAATAAAATAAATTGACTTCATAAATTTTTTTGAGCCACCTCTTAAGAAAATTTTAAAAATATGAGTGGAATGATAAATCACAAGTACAAACTCATCATATTTTTTGCATTTTAGATAGGATTTATTCAGCAAAATTTAAGGATGACGTCATAAATTTTTTTAGGAGGGATGAACAAATACATTTTGAACAAAAGTTTACCATGCTTATAAGAACTTTAAAATATCTCCAAGATTTCAAAGCATTCGGTTTTGTAATTCCTGATTAAATCGATAAAATAAATTCACGCATTCATTAATTTTTTTGAGTCACCCTGTATATGCAAATCCAAAAATATGAATGTAGTGATAAATCACAAGTACCGACTCATCATATTTTGTACCTTTTTGGATAGGATTTATTCAGCAAAATTTTGGGGTGACGTCATCAATTTTTTAGGGGGGAAGAGCAAATACACTTTGATAAAAAATTTACCATGCTTATGATAACTTTAAAACATCTCCAAGATTTCAAAGCATTCGGTTCTGTAATTCCTGATTAAATCAATACTGGAACGTTTACAAAAATCAGCTTTTGACATAAAATGCTTGCAAATTTGGAACAGAATTGGAATGTTTCTTGACAATCATGCCTAATACATTTTTGACTTGTATCTTTTAAAAAGAATTATTTCCGAATTTATAGCTATTTACAATTTACGACTTACTTCAAGAATAAATTCCGTATTAGAATTTTACCTGATGTATGTTGTTAACTTATATAAGGTACCTTACATCGAAACGAGTAATTTGTTTTTTAATATGACATTGCCTTTCTTTATCATTCTATTTGTCTAACAATTATTGTTGTGCAATTATACGCGTGTAAATGAAAATAACTTTACAATAACTTATTTATGGGTAAATTTTTTTACCAATTAATTTAAGTTGATGGTTATATGTAATGGTAATAATAGCCGCGTAAAATTCACTCACTGTTTAGGTATACCAGATATCAAAAGCTATTAAATCCAAATGTTACTGTTTATTTTTTTTATGTCTCCAGCGTAAGCTAATGAAGTATTGTAATCAAGTTCATCGGGCGACTGGCTACTTTTATGGCTTGTCAACGTTTCATGACTCTTATCATACGAAAACATAGGTCTCTCGTTTCCGGTTGATAAAACGCTGACCAACATTTGTAATCATCCTCCTCATCATATAACGTCATCTCCAACTTTTACAGCAATAAATGTTATATAAATTAAAAAAAATAACATACTTTTTCATTTGTTGTTTATTGAGTTTTTACCCTAAGCATCCAGATTGAATTGAATTACCATAACCCTAACTTCTTGAGATTTTGGAAACAGGATATACTACATAAAGAAAGTTAAAAGAATCTGAAGTAATGTAATGATACTCTAGTAATGTAGTAGTGTAATAACCTCGTTCCCTACTGTATAGTATTGGAGTTTTCTTTTTTGGTTGTCATTATTTTTCGAAATGGGCACTGGTTTCAGGTCGTTTTCAAAAAAACATAAATTTTTTGATATTACACTCTTGGGCCAAATCTCTGGGTTGTAAATTTGGTCAAGTAAATCCACGTCGGTTCCAACTTTAAAAGCTAGACTTCGTGCTTCCTCATGCCTTGGTTGTGGTTCTATGACAAAAGATTTGTCGGGAAATTTTGAATTCAAGTGACGTTTTATTTGGTCAGCGTTTGTGTCTAAGGCCACTCTACCTACATATATCCACATTTTACGAGCCGCTGCGCTAAAAGTTTGGTCATCGCTGATACTTGTATCCAATGCGTTCGGCATTTTGGTTCCAATGATTTTATAATTCCCGGTATTAGTTTTTCTGCTACTATTTTGGTCTTTCCTTGGCATTTTTACATAGTTCTTATCGATGTCATTTTCATGATTGGTTTTTTGCAATATGTTAGTATCAGTTTCTGGATTTAGATACAGAGTGCCTTCACATTTCGCTTCATTACTCTTTAAGACCTGATTCTGGAGTAATTTACTTACTGCAGCTGTGGATTCACTAATTTCTTTCACCAGAACATTATTCGTGTCTCGAAGCATGGTAATCTCCCTTCGAAGAAGTGCCAGCTCTTGCGTCAATTAGCCAATAACACGTGACGTCATGTTGTGGCGGGAACTCAGCGTTTGACAAGCGCCGTGAAACTCCATAAGCGACAATGTTAACATTTTCGCATTTTATTTAAAAGTGTGGATATTTATTTAGAATATAAACACGTGAATAGCTTCTTTCATATCTTTTCTGTGTAGCAGGGTGCTTTTTTTGGCGATTTGAGTTTAGAAATACATAATAAAAATAAAAATACAGAACACTGTTTTGGTCTGAATTCCTCGTCATTCAAAATACATCCGTGTGTTTTAAGCGGGAAATTGAAAATTAATATTTTCGTTTGAGGTTACTGTGACGGGTTTAAGTGAAGGTGTGTGATTGGTTTTTAAAGTATGGATAATTTAAGTGATTATGCACCATGTCTTTCCGTCAAAGACAAAAACAGATATGTACAAAAGTTAAACAATTTAAACGGCGTAGATCCTTATACAATGAGTGCAAGTGATTTTAGTTTGTGTTTAGACGATGTCCCTACCATAACAATGAATACCATTCTAAACTTTTTTATTTTTAGAGTAAGTAAAATAACCCACAATAAAACTCGTGCCTTCAAAAGTCTAGAGACATTTATTCAATTTTCTCTTTTTTAAACAACTGTGTCTTTCAACATTACAAGTATTATGCGTGGATTTATTTTGATATCCTAAATTTTGTGATGGAACATAATCAGGATGGTCCACATCCGACAAATCTGCAGGTTTACCTAAAAGAGCACCAATGTAGTAATTTGTTAGAAACTGTAAATCTAATAGGTAGGTACTGTACCTAAAATAAAATGATCCGAACAAACATAGGAATACTTTACTTTGGCTTCGTTAAATCCACTCGTTTCAAGGCTTTTAACCAAAGCTTCCGCCTTTTTCCCCATCCTTTATATATTTACCATTATTGTTGCTAATTGCTGCGAAAGGACTATAAAATTTGTCCGCATTTCTGGTGCTTCGATTTGCGCAACCCACAACAGCACAAAATTCAGGCATTTTCTCCTAAAATACAAAATATTATAATATTAAGATGCTAGTGTATTTAAAAAACATTGATGTACATTAACAAAGAATTAATTTGCAAAACAAATAATATAAGATGCATCGAAGTTAACCTGTACATCACATTGGAAAACATTATTTTTTAAGCATATTCAAACGTTATGGTGCGTTTTACAAATATCTACACAGTCTAGAAACTGTAACAAACTTACCAAACTATAAAAACACAGTTGACACACTCTCAAATTTAAATGAATTCCGAAAATATTAGCATTGACTCTTATGAGAAAACCGGCTAGTTGTCAAACGCTGCCATCTTGATGACCTCGGATGACGTCAGTGTATTTGGCTAATTCCCGTGTTTTTTCTTGCACTATTTCCTCGATTAAATTTCGAAGTTCGTCGGTAACACTAGGCAACTGTTTAGCACTACGTGTACTACCACCCATAGTTTTAATGTGTTTAATTAATTAATGAAAATTATAGCGCAGTGTAAAAATCACGCGCCCACTTTTTGGCAGTTCAGCAGATATATATATATAATATATTTTTACTTTAGGTGAGTGTGTCTAGATAATTGGTGAATCGCACCTACAATTTCTCAAATATGGTATTTTCGGTTACAAGGTTAGATTTATAGTAAATATATCGCAATAAAACGTCGCAATAACTCGCCATCCTGAAGCAACAACATTTTGAATTCCAACTGTCTCAACGAAAATAAGTAAACAACTATTTGCACTGTTGGAACGTGTACACTTAATCGAAGGTATAATGTTGAAAATTCGTAAAAATTGTTAGAAGTGGTTAAATACATAAAATTACGTACACAGTCATGCTTATTGCGATTCAATTCGTATAATCTTATCATTTGTTTACTGTTTGCAGCTGTTGGCAAAACTTCATTATGACAACTCTGAGCGCATCTTCCACGAGGCAAATATTCTGCGCTGGTCATAAAGAACTTCAGAATCCGACATTCATTCAGATGCAAGGTTGGTATTGAGCAAATTAAAAAGTATAAGCATATTCACCATCAGGTTCGTTTAATTTTTAGCAGCAATATAGATTTCGTGATTTAGATTTTTACTTCCCGATTGTAAGGTAAGGAAGTATTGTAATTGAGTCCATCAGGCGACTGGCTCTTTTCATATTTTATGGATGCATCATGATATCTAGAGTACGAAAAAATGGGTTTCGCTTTCCATCTGTCTGTCTGTCAATATCTCTGCCGTCTGTGAATTTTTTAGACAGATAATCTCCGAAACTACCGAATCGGTTGAAGTCAAGTAAAGAATAAGACAACACACTAAACATCTGTAGACTGCAGACGCAGCCTTCTTAGGTTTCATCAGTACAGCATATTTCAATGGTTGTCTATTAATTAAAGTATATATTTAAGCTTAAGGGTCCCCAGTCGTCGCCCGCAAAATCGGTTTCAGTGAGAAGAATTATTTTTTGTAACTATGCAACCCAAAGTACCGATCCACGGCAGGTAGCGACCCAAGAGAGGAGAGATTATGGTCACTGTAGGGAGTCCGTCATAAAATGCAAATCGGTAAACAACACCAGATAAGCTTATTTATTTTCAAATGAAGGGCACAGGGAAATAACCATCGAAATCCATTTGTATGTGTTTTGAAAGAAATTGAGTTGAAAGTTTAAAATGCTGCGGAAAATAGATTGAGAAACCCACAAGGTTCAGTCGAACACAACTTTTTATTTTCTTTATAATGTTTTAAAAATATATAAAATAAACTGTTTATGTTCAAATATAACAGCAAAAAAAATTGGTGGAAAATTGTTTCGACAGAACTTTCCTCGCACCGAAAATACAATGAAACATATCCAGCATTTTCGAGTTAAATTTTTACTTTAGGAACACAATTTTGTGATGAAATCATCAACATTTTGCAAGGACACGTAAATCAATATACATTAGACTAAAAATAACAGTATTCCAAAAATTTGTGGGAAAATGGAGTGAGTCGAGACTGATCTAATCAATAGAATAAATTGACTCATTCATTAATTTTTTTGGGCCACCTAGGTATATAGGCAAATCTAAAAAAATATTAAAAAAATTGGTCTAAAGAGTTTAGACAGTACTTCCCTCGCTGTCGGAAACGTGACGACTGCATGCCTATTATGTTTTTTTTTCGCAGTGGATTTCAAAGAATTCGGTTTTGTAGTTCCTGATTAAATCAATAAAATATATTTACGCATTCATTAATTTTTTTGAGTCACTCTGTATATGCAAATCCAAAAAATATAAATGGAGTGATAAATGACAAGTACAGACTCATCATATTTTGTACATTTTAGATATGATTTATTCGGCAAACTTTCGAGCTGACGTCATCAAGTTTTTGGAGGGGATAAGCAAATATATTTTGACTAGACATTTATTATGCTCTTTATGACCTTAAAACATCTGCAAGATTTCAGAGCATTCGGTTTTGTAGTTCCTGATTAAATCAATAAAATATATTTACGCATTCATTATTTTTTTTGAGTCACCCTGTATATGCAAATCCAAAAAATATGAATGGACTGATAAATTACAAGTACAGACTCATCATATTTTTACAGTTTAGATAGGATTTATTCGGCAAACTTTCGAGCTGACGTCATCAATTTTTTGGAGGGGATAAGCAAATATATTTTGACTAAACATTTATTATGCTCTTTAGAACCTTAAAACATCTGCAAGATTTCAAAGCATTCGGTTTTGTAGTTTCTGAGTAAATCAGTAAAATAAATTTACGCATTCATTAATTTTTTTGAGTCACCCTGTATATGCAAATCCAAAAAATATGAATGGAGTGATAGATCACAAGTACAGACTCATCATATTTTGTACATTTTAGATATGATTTATTCCACAAACTTTTGAGCTGACGTCATCAAGTTTTTGGAGGGGATAAGCAAATATTTTTTGACTAAAGATTTATGATGCTCTTTATAGCCTTAAAACATCTGCAACATTTCAAAACATTCTGGTTAGCAGATTAAAAATTAAATTTCAAAATGTTGTTTTATAATTTTGATTTTTTTTCCAAAAATCTGGACGTTTCGGGTGAAAAGTCGATTCAGAGTTGTAAACTACATGTGTAGGACTATGTTATTTTATACAATTGAAAACCCATTTACTATGTACAATTTTGAAGTGACGTCATCGCATTAGTGGTGGGGATGATTAGACAAATTTTGGTTAGCGTTTTACCATCTACATGATATTCTTAATAGAAGTACAAAATTTCACAACAATCGGTCGAGTACTTTCGGAGATTATCTGTCTAATAAAAATCCGGGACAACAGACGGACAGACGGACGGACAGACGGACAGACGGACGGACAGACGGACAGACGGACAGACGGACGGACAGACGGACAGACGGACAGACGGACAGACAGACGTAAATGGGAGACCTATTTCTTCGTCTTCTAGGGGTCATGAAAGATCGAGAAAACGTAAAAGTAGAGAGTCGGCCGACGGACTCGATTACAATACTTCCTTTGCTTACGCTCGGGAAGTAAAAATTGGTCTAAAGAGTTTAGACAGTACTTCCCTCGCTGTCGGAAACGTGAAGACTGCATGCCTTTCATGTTTTTTTTTCGCAGTAGATTTCAAAGCATTCGGTTTTGTAGTTCCTGAGTAAACCAATAAAATAAATTTACGCATTCATTTTTTTTTTCTTGAGTCACCCGGTATTAAGAAATTCAAAAAATTTGAATGGAATGATAAATCACAAGAAGAGACTCATCATATTTTGTATATTCTAGATAGGATTTATTCGGCAAACTTTTGAGCTGACGTCATCAGTTTTTTGGAGAAGATAACCAAATATATTTTGACTAAAAATTTATTATGCTCTTTACAACCTTAAAACACCTGCAAGATTTCAAAACATTCAGTTCTGTAGTTCCTGATTAAATCAATAAAATACATTTACGCATTCATTAATTTTTTTTAGTCACCCTGTATATGCCAATCCAAAAAATATGAATGGGGTGATATATCACAAGCACAGACTCATCATATTTTGTACATTTTGCATAGGATTTATTCGGCAAACTTTTGAGCTGACGTCATCAAGTTTTTGGAGGGGATAACCAAATATATTTTGAGTAAAGACTTATGATGCTCTTTATACCCTTAAAACATCTGCAACATTTCAAAACATTCGGATTAGCAGATTCAAAATTAAATTGCAAAATGTTTTTATAATTTTGATTTTTTTTCCAAAAATCTGGACGTTTAGGGTAAAAACTCAATTCGGAGTCGTAAACTACATGTGTAGGACTATGTTATTTTATACAAATTAAGACCCATTTACTATGTACAATTTTGAAGTGACGTCATCGCATTAGTGGTGGGGATGACTAGACAAATTTTGGTTAGCGTTTTACCATCTACATGATATTCTTAATATAAGTACAAAATTTCACAACAATCGGTCGAGTACTTTCGGAGATTATCTGTCTAATAAAAATCCGGGACGGCAGACGGACAGACGGACGGACAGACGGACGGACAGACGGACAGACGGACAGACGGACAGACGGACAGACAGACGGAAATGGGAGACCTATTTCTTCGTCTTCTAGGGGTCATGAAAGATCGAGAAAACGTAAAAGTAGAGAGTCGGCCGACGGACTCGATTACAATACTTCCTTTGTTTACGCTCGGGAAGTAAAAATTGTACAATTAAAATTTTTTATTTGCATTCGCGGCATGTGTAATTCATATAAATCTTTTGCCCTTCTAATATAAACACACACAGGAATAAATAGTAATATTGGAATAAGTTTACTGGAGATATCACGTAAAAACGTGCCTATAATACTCTACCTCATAGGTGGTGCGGAAAAGAGTATCAAAAAATTGGTCTAAAGAGTTTAGACAGTACTTCCCTCGCTGTCGGAAACGTGACGACTGCATGTCTATTATGTTTTTTTTCGCAGTAGATTTGGTTTTTTTTTGAGTCACCCGGTATATGCAAATTCAAAAAATATGAATGCAATGATAAATTACAAGTACAGACTCATCATATTTTGTATATTCTAGATAGGATTTATTCGGCAAACTTTTGGGCTCACGTCATCAGTTTTTTGTAGAAGATAATCAAATATATTTTGACTAAAAATTTATTATGCTCTTTATAACCTTAAAACATTTGCAAGATTTCAAAACATTCGGTTCTAGAGTTCCTGAATAAATCAATAAAATACATTTACCCATTCATTAATTTTTTTGGGTCACCTGTATATGCAGATCCAAAAACTATGAATGGAATGATAAATCACAAGAAAAGACTCATCATATTTTGTACATTTTAGATAGGATTTATTTAGCAAAATTTTGTGGTGACGTCATAAATTTTTTAGAGGGGATAAGCAAATACATTTTGATCAAAAACTTACCATGCTTATGATAACTTTAAAACACCTTCAAGATTTCAAAGCATTCGGTTTTGTAGTTCCTGAGTAAATCAATAAAATAAATTTACGCATTCATTAATTTTTTTGAGTCACCCTGTATATGCAAATCCAAAAAATATGAATGGAGTGATAAATTACAAGTACAGACTCATCATATTTTGTACAGTTTAGATAGGATTTATTCGGCAAACTTTCGAGTTGACGTTATCAATTTTTTGGAGGGGATAAGCAAAAATAAGTAAAGATTTATGATGCTCTTTATAGCCTTAAAACATCTGCAACATTTCAAAAGATTGGGATTAGCAGATTCAAAATTAAATTGCAAAATGTTGTTTTCTAATTTTGATTTTTTTTCCAAAAATCTGGACGTTTCGGGTAAAAACTCAATTCGGAGCCGTAAACTACATGTTAGGACTATATTATTTTATACAATTTAAAACCCATTTACTGTGTACAATTTTGAAGTGACGTCATCACATTGGTGGTGGCGACGATTAGACAAATTTTGGTTAGCGTTTTACCATCTACATGATATTCCTAATATAACTACAAAATTTCACAACAATCGGTCCAGTACTTTCGGAGATTATCTGTCTAATAAAAATCCGGGACGCAGACAGACGGACAGACGGACGTACAGCACTGCTGGTGTTAATCCTGTATGGCCCCTTTGAATGAAGTCCAAATTTCCTCGTTCCCCTCTCTGCCTTCTCACACGGATTCATTCATCTGATTTTCATAAGCAGAACTTGGACTTGTCGCTGAAGACGACACTGTTTCATTCATGCTCCCAGTGCGGTCTATCGTTACACCATTATCGTCCAGTGTGATGTGTGATGATTATTGCAGGACAAATTAAACAGAATAAATACACAAATTGGTCCATTTATTGGTGCTGGGTGCAGCACGTGAATCCCTCCACAAAACTCCTGGTCGTAGTGCGCGACCCCGTCACACGAGTCATCTTCGACTACACTCAGGCCGTATCCAAGATCCCCGAGATGAATCCCTTCGAACAGCTCGTCTTCTTTAACACCTCCATCGGCAGCATCGTGTCAAGTCCTAGGGGCCCATCAAGCTAGGGATTTACTCGCGCTAATTGAAATGATTTTATTCAGTGTGATGATTATTATATTCATAGCACAAATTAAACGGAATAAATACGTAAATTGCGCAATATATTTTACGAGTCTTTTGCTGGTGTCGAGATTTTAGTAAGTTTTTATTACATCTTCTACTGAGATTAGATGACAAAGCGAGGGCATGCTTATTCTTCGATAATCAATTTAATCAGTAAGTAATAACTTTCATGACAATGTTGTAAAATGCATCTACATACGCATTTGTTCATTTTTCACGAGCAACAACTTCATAAAATATTTTTTTAGATTTGCATATACAGGGTGACTCAAAAAAATTAATGACTGCCTGAATATATTTTATTTATTTAATCAGAAACTACAAAACCGAATGTTTTGGAATCTTGGAGATCTTTTACAGTTATCATAAGCATGGCAAATTTTTAAATAAAATGTATTTGCCTATTTCCTCTATAAAATTGTCACCCCAAAATTTTGCTGAGTATCAAAAATGTACAAAATATGATGAGTCTGTACTTGTCAGTTATCATTCCATTCATATTTTTTAGATTTGCTTAACAGGTAGCTCAAAAAAATTAATGAATTTGTCAATTTATTTTATTGATTAAATTAGGAATAGTTCACTCCATTTTTCCGACATTGGAGATACAATACTGTTGTTATTAATATTACATTGCACCAACCTAATTTGGTTGGCACAAAATTTTGTAAAGTAAAAACTCGTTTGAAACATAGGCGTAGCACACTTATCTACATTTACTTTAACATTACAGACGTGCATTTGTTTTGTTGCGCTGACTAGGTTCCGTGAATGTGGTATAGACAAGTTATAATCAACGAATTGTGAATTATAAAAAAAAGGTCTGGGCGAGCATCGGTATAGTTTACAGTTTCTCTGTTTGACTTTTACGTGTATAATCTCAACAAGTGATACGGCTTGTTGTCTTAAATTAAGAATGCTTATCATAAATGATTTTGAGTCGCCTCTTCTAATACATGCAGCATACGACAGTAAACTGTTTCGTTATTTTAGTTATTATAAATCAATATTCAAGACGACCCAATTCATTTTCCCCAAAAATTTGGGAATACAGAACTTTTATTTTTAGTATTACACTACATCATGTCATCAATGTCATCGCAAATTTTTTTTAAATTGCCCCGCTACAAAAATGTCCTGTATTTGTTTTTTATTGATCAGATTAAGAACTTCATTTTCTAAAAAATGTGAGAATACCCTCGTTTTAATTAACCATGATTAAATACGAATGGCCTAATTATTCATTTTAGTCCTCTGTTTTCAGGACACCACTCATTCAAATCAAACAAATTTCTACGTGACAATCTTTCCATGTGTAAACATAAACAAACGAGGTTAAGCATGTACACTGATAAGATTTTTTCCGTTTGTTATTTGTTTTGAATATATTTCATTTTGTGCTTGGAATTTACAACCGCACGGCGCAAACGAGGTGTCATTTACACCACTGGCTTTTAGTGTATAAAAGTTATCAGAAAACAAAAATTTTGTATAATTTTTCAAAGAAGCGGGATTTGTTAGACTGTACTTTAAGGGCGAGGGAAGTTCTGTCGAAGTAACCTTGCACCAATTTTTTTTAAATAGCTTCAGAACCCCAAAGCTCTTTCTGTTCACAAGTAAATTGCTATACTGCGCTGCTAGTATTAACTTGCTTTATGGTAACGGCTTCTGTATAATTTATTTTGTTTTTTTTCCAGATCACCGCATAATTTGGTCCCAGAAGCCCCAAAATGTATTCAGCCGAATAAGAAATTTTCCTTTAATAGGATTAACTGGGAATTGTATTAGATACAAATATTTATCTTTAATAAATTAATGAAAATAAGTTTTTTGTTGTTGATTTCATGTGATTGTACAATTCTAATTTTTAAAGGAAGGCACTAGCTCACTAGAAAAAGTGTAAAATAATACTGTAGTTTTAGATTAATTGACGGAATACTTGAAAAAATGAGAAACAGTCTTACCAAAATTTTGATTTAAATTAAAGGGGTAGTGAAATGGTTAAGACATATTAACTTAAAAGATATTAAAAAATGTTGCTTTTTGAAATGTAAACGACTTGTTTCTAATTTTATAAATAACTTCGAAATCAAACAGAAAATGCGAGCACGGGGTGACGTCATTCGTGGTTGCATCTCGGGCGGTCTTATGCACATAAACGTGTTATTCATCGTGAATAGTGTATGATTGTCGCTTGTCGCTTAAAATAAAAAATACCTCAATGCTGTGCTTACGGATGAGAAGTTAGGTATATAATACGGCTTCTAGACCCAGCTCAAATGAGGTCAAACTGGTCCAGCAGCCCCATTGCTTTTTACCGTTAGACCATTGACCTCTGAGGTCTGCATGTGTCGTCCCGAAAAAATAATAAAAAAATTTTTATGATGTAGATTACGAAAAAAACGTAATTTTATAGAAGTAAAATTGACAACACTGCACACACCTAATGCGGGAATACTCCTGGCCTACTTTCTGGTTTCTTAGTAACGATGCTGGGTGAAATCCACCTTCATTTTTTATCAGGCAAACATTGTTATTACAAAACAACACACCATATTTTTGTGCATTCTAACTGAAATGGTAATTAAACATGGCCATGGGCGAGAGAAATACTAACTAAAAGTTTTATTACTAGTTATTGTGATAATGAATGTGTAGTTTAGTTGTTAACCGTAGCAAAAAAAAAACAATTTTAAAATAATTGTAACTCCACCAAAATATGAGAAGGAATTTTTTTACTATTTTTCCTAGACTCACCAGTTGATTGTCAAGAGGTAACCTAACTCCCGTCAGGTCCGACCATAAACTTAATCTCTAACCCGAATTCCCATCAACGCTATATTTTACCTGCGTAGGGTCGCATGAATTCCCGTCAGCATTCAGATCTTACGTATAGTAGCCCAAAAGCTATAAGGTTATATGATCATCATAAAAGTAGTTAACCGCAAATAAATACCCCCTTTGTGTGGTTTGCACTAAGTTTACGGGTTGGCAATAAATCGTCTTCTAAACATTTCTTGCTCACATTTTACAGGGCCAGCTTTCAAAGCGACTGGTTATTTTGGAACTCTTTGTGGCTGCAGGTAATAGTAGTGGGTAGTTAGATATTTAGTGAAAGTCACCCCTGAACGAACCAACAGCAGCCGGTCAGCTGGAGTGGACACGTTATTTACGACCTTAAAACCTTTTCTATTGTAAACAACTTAACTTCGACACAATGGGTTAATTTTATGATAGTCATATAATCTTATAGCTTTTGGAGTACTTTACATAGATTTGTACATAATGAACACACACAAAGAAGGTATACCTTTTACCTTAGTGACAAATTCGAAAGTTTTACCAAAATTGTAACGTTAATTTAAAATTGTTATTAATTAACTTTTTTAAATACTTATGTGTAATTATTTCTTTATTATACATATGTATAACAATTCATAAAGTGTGGCTTAAAATTCAACTTTAAATTGATTGTGGACGAATAATATATTTGTGTATAAGGGCATCAGAATTGAAAACTGGTACTGTGAATTTTTATCTAGTTTTTTTTATAAATTAAGTTATTTTATTCTTAGCTTTTTTTATACCAAATAAAAAATGTCGTATCCAAAGTTTTCAAAATTAATCCAGTCATTTTAGCATAAAAAAGGGATCAACCTCGGAATGAGAGATAATGAGCTGGATTTTTGTATACACCTTAATTTTGGCATTTAAAAATTGTCTCAAAAGTCTCATAAAATCTCGTGTCTGCGTCGTAAGTTATTCAAGGTCAAAGGTCAAGAAAAACAGTTTTTTGCGATTATCTCACTTTCTATTGCTCCAATGATGTTAACATTTAGCATCATAATTGTAGAGCACAAAATTTGGGACAAATTTTATTTGAAACATTTTTCCATGCGCTCAATCGTTTTTAAGATAGAGGGTAATGAGGGCTCGTCCATACGTACTGTAATGCAATCAACCGTGAATATCTGTGAATACTATACCTTGAGTTTTGAATAATTTGTATTTTTAATCAATTAATACATTGTATTTAATAACATTTTACATATTTTCAATATATTCATAGAATAATACTTACCTAATTTGTGTAATTAAAAACTCATTTAATGAAATATTTATTGTATATCTCAATTTATTTATATCTTTAAAATGTGTAAGTTTTTAAAGGGTCGTAATTAATTGTGCATTATTTTTAATACTTTGTGCATTAAATTTTATACTGTGCGCAATAACATTTGTGCATTAAATTTACTATGTTGCGCCATAAGTTTTTGCATTTTGTGCATTCTATTAAGTGCAAATTGGAATAATAAAATTATTGTTTTGGGCAATGATTTTCTGTACTGCGTGCATTATTGAAACTGTATTGAAAATAACAAACAAAAATAGACCTGCTGTATTAAAATGTGTTTTATGAATGCATACAAAATTAACAAAAACACAAGATATTCATAGCAAAAAAGTAGCTAAACAAATTAAAAGTTTGGAAAAAATTAAAAAAGAAACTTAAAAAAAATATTCTTTCATCAAAAAACTCAATTACTAAACATTATTAATTTATTGAATAATAATTAATGCTTTTTTGGCTTTAGAAGGGCGGATTCCTTCCCTGCCAAACTGGCGCGAAGTGAAGCACATGACACGTCCCTTAAAGAGTGGGAGTGTAATGTCCACTTTCCTGTGAACTAATGCACATTTTTAGTAATTTAGGGAACATTTGAAATGCTCGTTTATTTTTTCTCAAATACAAATTGATTTATTAAAGAAACAGTTATTTTAACGAATGATCAATTTAATTAAATAATTCTAAATTGCATTATTTATTGCACAAATAGAAAAAATACTCTGCCATTAGTTTATTTATTCCCCTTTCAGTTTTACAAATGCTGAAATAGTTTCTTCTGTGCTGAAAAGTTTTTAATAATGCTGTGACTTATTTCACACTTCATTAAAACTAATGCGCATTTAAATTGTTCTCGTTTTTAAATACTTATTTTTCTATCATGATTACAACTGGAAGGTCTGGAAACAACGATTCGGGGCACCGAAGATGATGACGATGAAACACAAATTCCCGAACGTCCAGAAGATGACGGTGAAGAAGAAGAAAATTAATACTTTTGTTCTTTAAATTATTTATTAAAGATTTATAGATTTTCACTGCTATTCAATTTCAGTCGTAAGAAATGTATAGCTGCTGAATAAAGATAAAATTAAAATATATTAACTCGTTTTACTTCCTTAAAATTTACTTTAAAAAAATTGGTTTAAAGAATTTATTTAGACAGTACTTCCCTCGATGTCGGAAACGTGACGACTGCATGCCTATTGTGTTTTCTTTTCGCAGTAGATTTCAAAGCATTGGGTTTTGTAGTTCCTGAGTAAATCAATAAAATAAATTTACGCATTCATTTTTTTTGAGTCATCCAGTATACGCAAATTGAAAAAATATTAATGGAATGATAAATTACAAGTACAGACTCATCATATTTTGTACATTCTAGATAGGATTTATTCGGCAAACTTTTGAGCTGACGTCATCAGTTTCTTGGAGAAGATAACCAAATATGTTTTAACTAAAAATTTATTATGCTCTTTATAACCTTAAAACATCTGCAAGATTTCAAAACATTCGATTCTGTAGTTCCTGATTAAATCAATACAATACATTCACGCATTAAATTTTTTTTTGGGTCACCCTGTATATGCAAATCGAAAAAATATGAACGGAATAATAAATCACAAGAAGAGACTCATCATATTTTGTACATTTTAGATAGAATTTATTCAGCAAAATTTTGTGGTGACCTCATAAATTTTTTAGGGGGGATGAGCAAATACATTTTGATCAAAAACATACCACGCTTATGATAACTTTAAAACATCTTCAAGATTTCAAAGCATTCGGTTTTGTAGTTCCTTAGTACATCAATAAAATAAATTTACGCATTCATTAATTTCTTTGAGTCACCCTGTATATGCAAATCCAAAAAATATGAATGGACTGATAAATCACAAAAAGAGACTCACCATATTTTGTACATTTTAGATTGGATTTATTCAGCAAAATTTTGTAGTGACGTCATATTTTTTTTAGGGGGGACGACCAAATACATTTTGATTAAAAATTTACCATGCTTATGATAATTTTAAAACATCTTCAAGATTTCAAAGCATTCGGTTTTGTAGTTCCTGAATAAATCAGTAAAATAAATTTACGCATTCATTAATTTTTTTGAGTCACCCTGTATATCCAAATCCAAAAAATATGACTTATTCGGCAAACTTTTGAGCTGACGTAATTAAATTTTTGGAGGGGATAACCAATTATATTTTATAAAGATTTATGATGCTCTTTATAGCCTTAAAATATCTGCAACATTTCAAGGCATTCGAGTTAGCGACGGACTCGATTACAATACTTCCTTTGCTTACGCTCGGGAAGCAAAAATTAATATAACTTTCAGATATATAATAATATAATAAGTATAATATATTATGTAATAATAATATCTAAAAACTTACACATTTGAAAGATAAAGTACTTAATTATTTTCTACTTAAAACCTACTTTCAATAAATTAAGATATACCTACCATGAATATTTCATTTAAAGAGTTTTTATTACACAAAGTAGGTAAGTATCATTAAATGAATGTATTGAAAATATGTAAAATGTTATTAAATGGAATGTATTAACTGATAAATAATACAAATTTTTCAAAATTCAAGGTAGTATTCACAGATATTCACGGTTGATTGCATCACAGTACGTACGGATGAGCGCTCAAAAACGATTGAGTGCATCAAAAAATGTTTCAA